CCAAATTCGGGCTGAAAAATGTAGGAGGCAAAAAAAAAATCTGCCCCACACCTAGCCAAAACAAAATGGGGTTTGTCATATCTCACCTAGTACTTTCAAGTTTTGAAGGTGGTTTTCTGTTTGCTTTTGGTGTGTTGCACTGTGTTATCGTTATAGAATGCCAACAGGCCATGAGTTCACAAAAGATATAAAAGCATTTTTTTTTAAAATAATAACTTTCGTCGAGTCAGAGAAAAATGGTGCCACTATCCTCTTGATCAAACAGGACTGCGGCTAATGACAATGTTAGGTATCTCGAAAGGAGCTATTTACAATCTGAAAAAAGAGTTGCATGAATTAGAGAATTCACACGAGAAAGAAGAAAACCCGGAAGAACCGCCGAGACGACGAACAAGATCCGAAACCACTTTACCTCCCCGTCCTTCTGCACAGAAACGAGCCCATTCTCGTAAGTCGTATGCTTCATCCTCGACCACAGCTTCAGCCACTTCATTGATTCCTACGCCGGTATCGCCTCTAAAGAAAGGTAAGTTGAAATTGTGTTTTTTTTTAACAGACCGCGACTCTTTTGGATTTTTAAGGCCACAGTGAACGTTCAAAGATAATTTTATCTGAGTATGCCAAAGATACTATTCGATTAACCGTTCATTTAATGTTATGTCAGAAAGAGTACCCCACAGTTCGCAAATTTCTCGATCGTCTACTTTCCTTATATGAGGATTTTCCTGTCCGTTCGACAATGACTCTCTGGAGGTGGATGAAAAGAATTGGTTTCAAGTATCGTTCAGTAAATAAAATTAAAACTCCTCTTGATAGTACATTTTATATGGCAGCCAGATCGAAATATTTCCGTGAGATTCAGGAAATTCGTGATAATAATGTCATCCATTATTTTCACGATGAGTCCTGGACCTACCAGAAAGAGGAAAAGAGATTTGTTTGGACCGACGATGAAGGTGCAGGTCGCTTAAGAAGCATTCTGGGAAAAGGTGAGGTTTTTGTGTCGAAGATTAGAAAAACTCCCGTTAAACCTATGTTTTTTTTAAGGAAGTCGACTCGCGATCAATGCTATTCTAAACGACAAAGGTTTTCATAAACCGTGTATTGAAATATTTAAGTGTGACAAATATCATTCGATGGACTTTCAGCATTTTCTTGACTGGCTCTCACTCACCTGTGCAGAACTTCGCGTTATTCATGGTATGTGAAGCGAAAAGTACTTTCTATGAATTTAAGTATTTTATTTTTCATTAAGGCAAAAAACCTCGAATTTGTCTGATTCTCGATAATGCCCGGTGGCATTTTAAAGAGTCGGAAGAAACGAAAGTCCCTAAAAGAGGATCACGACAGCTGATTTTATAGGAATGGTTAGAAGAGCACAAGATCGCATATGATCCCAGTATGAAAAATTCCGAACTGTTGTATTTGATAGAAACGAACGCTCCGGTTAAGAAGTACAAAGTAATGCAACAGAAGTAGAAACGGATAAGAAAAAACGATAGTTTGAGAAAAAAAACGTCAAAGTCGAATGCATTTCAAAATTTGGTGTCCAATACTGATATTGAATAACATTTGATAGACGAGAAGATATAGAAACTTAGATTTATTGTTAAGTTTGATAGCTCTATCCAATGAAATCATAAAAGACACCTTGATTTTCGACCACGTTGAAGACTTTTTCAACCAGAGCTAGACAAGTCAAGTCAAAAATGCCTCAAGTCCAAGTCAAGTCTGACTTGACGTAACTGGGTGGAAAGATGTTTTAGATGTGACTTGACTGGAGAGATTTTTCTCGTAACCGTGACTGGACTTGAAAGGTTTTTCAAGTCCAGTCATTTCTCGTAAGACATTTTCGTGTAAATTAAGCATTTTTTACCATGAAACAGAGTTTTTCTATAAAACTTATAAACTATAAAAACTTTTGGTTTATATCTTATTATCTATTTTGAAATTTCTCTCTTAAACAAAATCGTTTTATACCATAAAAGGGATGTTCAAAACTCGAAAACGACAGATTTTTGGCCGAAACCAAAAAATGCTTATTTTCTCATCAAATATTAGAGCTATCGATCCCGAGAGTTTGAGTCAAATCCTAACTGTGGTCATTTGTCTATCTAGATCTGTCCCCATGCGGACTTCCTTTTAATCATTCACAGAAGTTTGCTGACAGAGCACTCGCAGTTACTGTCACAATGTAATTTTTCTTGTTTCTATTTTTAGAAATTATTCAATCCTAGTCGATTTTTTTATGCGTTTACTTGTTCATATATTATTATTCTGGAGATTTGCGCTTATGCTATTTTATATCATTGGGGTTCTGGATGGCTACCTTATTTGTTATCACTTTTATTTTATGTAATAGTAATGGTAAGTGCTAGTTTTCCTGTGATGTGCGTAATAAAGCTGTGATTTTTACTTTAAGGCTCAAAATGAGTTTATAAGCCATGATCTCGGACATTTATCAGTATTTAAAAAAGCAGAACCGAACCATGTTTTATTTCAATATTTTTTTGGAATAATGAAAGTAAGGAAAAAGAAAGGACCAAAGACGTTAGGGCTACGCTGTTTTACAAAAATTATAAATAGCTAGTATCAACATTAAATTCTAAACAAAACTCTATATTCAGATCTTTGCAAAAACCGAAAAGAAACTTTTGAAAAAATTTCCGCCCTTCCCGCATCCCAGGATTATCAAAACATGTAACTCCTTAGATATTTGATAAAAGTCACGTACTGTCAACTACCTTTTACTTATTGTTTATGGTGCGCAACCTTCTGCTAGTATAGTACTAGCATTCGTATGTTGTTCCTTCGTACTTCTGTTGTCGAGTTAGGTTAGCTTGAGTCGACATATCTGTAGGCAAGATATATCACTACATCTCTGGGTGGAGTTATGTTGAGTCGACATGTCTATCTTGCTGTTTCTCACTAGCGGTCATCAATTCTACGTGTCTGTTTGCCGTCTTACTTTTCAAACTTGTGGTCACAAGAATAGAAAGATTTTTGATCATGACTCTCTTATTGATAATCCACTTATCGATAGATCTGTAGAGAAAAATTGAACTGACCGTTATAAAATGAGCCGGTGTGATTCCAGCGAGTTCTGATTCAGACGCTGTACTACTAAGCAAGGACGAGAACATATAGAGCTAAAATTATCACATCTAATACCGACATCAAAGAAAAAGCGTTTCTTATTATGCCATGAGTAAGTGCTATGGCAATCCGGAGATAATTTTCTAATTCTATATACAGGATTCTGTATGCGAGATACATCCTCATATGCGAGAAAACGGAAAGAACCATTGTTTGGTATTGGCTGCGAAAACTTCATTTTGCCGTGGAAATGTCCGTCTTGTTCTTTTTAATTATTTTAACCGTGATATGTCAAAATAGGAGCTCATAAATTTTTTCATTCAGGTTTTGCAAAATCAGCCAATAGGTATTCAGTAGCTAGTAAATTCGTTAAGGAAGCTATTTGGAATCTCTGAGGGACTAGGATGAGATAAAGCTTTTCTATACTTGAATATTTTTTCACTTCTGTTTAAAATGGTAGTTCGTGGAAGGCATGAAACACGATAGAGATAAAGAATGTTCTTCCTCGCATACGCAGATGTGGATTTCTGTTTGTAACATTAGAAAAATACACTCTCCCCTTATAAAGAGACTTCAAGAAAATCCTCCAAATACTGTTGATAACGATAAAGCTTTTATGGATTTCGATAGCAGATGTTCTAGGCGATATGATCCTCCATTTGTATTGAAACTAAACTTTTTTGAATGAAAATTAACTTTCTAGAGGTGGGTGGGAGGAGACGCTTTAAGTAGTTTCTTTTTAATCGTATTGTTCAAAGCTCATGACGACTCAACCTAACCTAATTCGACCCAGAGGCACAGAATTGATGATCACTGATGAGACACAGCTAGACAGACGTGACAACTCAACCTAACCCGCCATAGGGACTACGACATACTAGGAATTCATATGCGCCTTGCTGTTTTCAAAATTCTTAAGGGGCTACTATTTGTCACCTTATGGTATATTTCGGTGATTTTTACGAAAAAATCTGTTCAAATCATAGAACTTGGAAAATGTTGGCAGAAAGAGTGCTTTTTGACAGTATTTTGTGACTTTGACTACGAAGCACACGAGTTTTTCAATTTGACGGTCATATTCGGATATACTTGACTGATTATCTCCAGCCAAAATTAAGTGATAATAAATTTGACAATGAAGATTACTACATAATTTTTAATGAGTTTCCCTATAAATATCAGTATTACAGTTATCACATCGACTTGTAGATCAATTCCAGTTGGAGTGAATAGAGCTTGCTCTTTCAGTTATGTAAAACCTGTTTTCATTCGGAAGAAAAGCGAAGCCGATCACAAGATGACCAAAATTGAATCTGAGCGTCGAAACTTGTCAACTAGAAAAACAGTTTTCACGACTTCAAAAGACAATTATAAGATTTTAACCATGGTGTTTATCATAAGCATGTTCGCTTACATACAGTATATCCCGATGAGATTTGAGCTGAAATAGGAAAAAGCATTTTTTGATGTTGGACCAAGAGCGTAAATGCTTTAAAAATGACCTTAACGCCACTAATCCTTTGTGCTTGGACATAAACTGTCTTTTCGTGTCTAGGGAGGCAGTACGGATTGTTGGAACCACAGGCATAATCAACACCATAGCAAGTCAAACGTGGTATTTGTGTACAGTTATTGTCTTTCTAGACAGCAACTACTACTTGAATTTCCGTCTCTTTTAGATTAATAAAGACCCAGATGTTCGACTTATTTTATTTGTATTCGGCAATATTCTTCCAATCAGAGTAAGTAAGATGAAAATATTTTTGGATATTTTTGTGTACATAACTGGCTATTTATTTTAGACTGCAGTAAGATGCGCTAAATCTGGAGAATGGTTTCCATATAATTTACAACAATTTTACTTTGTCCTTCGTACGACGTTGGTGTTCTTGTTAGCTAAATTCCCTATCTTGAATAATCTTTTATTATAGTTTCTCCGATGCTGTTTCCTTTTCTTTTCCACTATCTATCACTTCGTCACCTGATTAGGCAAAAAAATGGATCGTAAGTTTATTCTGTATTAGAGTAATAGAAGTCTATGTATTTGTTTATTATTTAGGACCTAATCTCGATGTTAACCTTTTACTTTAAGTTTTTTATTATAATGACGATCACATTGGGGTCTATTGGTGCTTTTAAATATTATTTGCTGTTACGGTAAGTACTTTTTAGCTATTTACGGCGGGAGGTAGTATTAGTATGCTCACAGATGAATTTTCAGCAAAGGATGGAGGCGGATAAGACCATTTTCCGTGCCCTTCTGAAAAACAATTACGTATTCAGAATCAGCGTCAAATTCTGCATCGAATGCCGTACTTGATCCACTCGAAAATATACTTTAATTTTTTTCGAAAAACTTTGAATAATACACCATTTTACTCAGAATTTGACGCTGTATCGAACAGCATATTTAAAAAATTTGCAAAGGTTTTCTAGAAAACTTTATAATCAAAAGTCCTGTTTCTGATAAAAGCGTATTTTCTTTAAAACTCAAAGTAGGTTCATTCGATAGAGTATCTGAAGCTGTATATTTCGTATCCTTTTCGTATTGTTTAGACTTTTCGTTTCGTCCTGACGGAGAAATGTGGAATCTAGTACGTAGTTTATCAGGGTTTATCCTGGTTAAATCGATCTTTTACAATAAAAGTCGACATTTAGAGCATTTTAGATGTGATATTCGGAAAGCTAATACGTTGTTGACTATATCTGGCTGATTTGACTGTTATCAAACATCATCTTGAAGTACTAAAACCGCATTTATTCAATTAGGTCACCAACGCCATCTTAAGATAAAACTCAATTTTTTCGGTCAAGAGTCAACTTTTCACAACCTTCAGTCTGATATTCATAACAAGCATAAAATTCTGCATCGAATGTGTATCTTTCATTTGTATTTCAGAAAAAAAAGTTTTTCGAGAAAAATTAAAGTCGACTTTCGAGTTAGTCAAATATGACATTCGATGTATCAAATTTGACGCTGATTGCGAACATATAATTGGTTTTCAAAAATATTAGGAGACGGAAAACAGTTTTATCCGCCTCCGTCCGTTATCTTTTCTCTAATCAGTTACTGACTTGCTTTTTTCTAGTCATTTGTTGCGTACCAGTGCTCAATCTTCGGATCGGGTTGCGATATATCTAACGAAAAGATTTATTAGTTTATTTCAGTTCCTTCGAGAGTGTATGGTTCGCATGGGTTAGCCAAATGAGTCATGTCACTATGGATGTTTCAGACGAAAACTCAGGGATGGCATGGGTCCGAATGCACGTAAGTTCGTTGTGTATCACTAACGAGGGAACCTCCCGAGGTGATAAATCGCTTTTTGATCGACATCTAGTGGGTTATAGGTGATCCACCATGTTGATGCCGAATATGACCATGGGACTTCCCCATAGCTCTTTGAAGATCCAGTCTTCTGGAAAACCAGTTTGTCAGAAACCCCAAAAAATAACCCAAGCCTTTGTTAATAATGCAGGATTGTAACCCGCAAATTTCTGATTAAAATGAAACATCGCCCAGCTCTACACAACCTTTCTTTGCAAGGTTATAGGATTTATAAGAAGAGCCGTAAATTCATTTTTTCCTTCTTATTTCTGTAGCTTTGAGCTGACAATGAACAATTTAGGGCTCTTCTTATAAATTCTATAACTTTGCAAAGAAACGTCGTGTAGAGCTGGGTGATGTTTCATTTTAATCAGAAATTTGCGGGTTACAATCCTGCATTATTAACAAAGGCTTGGGTTATTTTTTGGGGTTTCTGACAAACTGGTTTTCCAGAAGACTGGATCTTCAAAGAGCTAGTTCCATGCTCATATTCGGCATCAGCATGGTCGATAACCTATAACCCACTAGATGTCGATCAAAAAGCGATTTATCACCTCGGGAGGTTCCCTCGTAAGCTACATCTTCCCTCGTTTTAGCCTGTTATTATAAATTTTTTTTTAGTAAATTTAGTTTTTAGGCAGTTAACTGCCAGAAAATAGTTAAAAAACGGTCAGTATCAACAGAAAAGAAAGAAAAATAGAGTAATAACGTCAGATGTAAGGACTGAGCCTATGTCTGACATATTAGTAGTCTGTTATCATTAATCTCATCCTCTTGTAATGAGAACATTCGATAATAATACAGCAGACTCTTTCAATGTACAATTATTTAGACTCTTGATTCAGAAATTCTGTTTATGAAACTGATAATCTCAGTTTTGGAAAAAAACAAAATCGATGCAGGAAAAAACTGAAAACCAGGAGAAAATCTTAAAAATTAGCTCCTGAAATCAGAAGATTTTTCATTAGGAGAAAAGTCTAAAAATCAGGAGTCTCCTGGCCAAATAACTAAACAGTTTTTAGGTGATTTTTAGATAGTTAACAGGTTGTCAAAGGGCAGGTTTTAGGCAGACTGTAAATCTGCAGTTAATGAGTAGTTTATTGCTCGTCGTTATTGCAGACTGGGGTCGGTCTCAAACATCTATTTTTACAAATTATTTTGAACATTTCATTTGAGAGTTATGATTAAATAATATAACCTTTTGAAAACTGGTGCTTTTTTCTGAATAGTTTTTGGAAAAAATATTATAAAAATATTCCAAGCAAATATATTAGAGATAAGAGCTTAGGTTTGACCGATACAAACTTCAGCTCAATCGGATGAAAAACGTTTGGACTTGTCCTTGTAGATGGTGCACAGTACCTACCAAATATTAAAAATAAATTACTAATGAAAATATATTTAGAACGCAATGTAGCAGATACTCTTTGATGGCTTTGTGTGTATCGCTTCTAGCTGTACTCTAACGGCAGCATAAAAATCTGGTAAAAAACCGTTTCGCCAAAAGACAATTCGCCATGGCGAAATGTCATGTGCCGTTTCGGCAAAGGGCGAAGTGTCAATGCCGTTTCGCCCAGAATTTGTACAGTTTCACCAACTGGCGAAATGGCACGTGACATTTTGCGTGCAAATTTGTCGGTTATTGATGAAAATAGTGATAGTAGTTAGAAGTATTTGTGGAGATGAAGACGAAGGCAGGAGGTAGAGACTATGTGAAGATGTATTTTGAAAGTGTAAATATGTTTTTTGTTTGTTTTTTTTCTTTTTTCTTTATTTTTAAGAGCAGGGGTTTTTTCACTAAGTTGAATTAGATAAAACGATTCGCCAAAAGACAATTCGCCATGGCGAAATGTCAGCGCCGTTTCGCCAAGAATTTGTACGCTTTCGCCAATTGGCGAAACATCCCGTGACTTTTCGCCACGACGGTTTGTCTTTTGGCGAAACGACAGAGATTCAAAAATCTCGGAGACGTGTCATTCAAAGAAGAAAGCTTACTCTATAAGATTGTTCGTGATCTCTGCAAATACAATGAAACATTGTATAAGTAAATTTGGCGAATCTTAAAAAATTCATATCTCTTGAACAGACGATCCCGAAAAGTCACATGTTTCGTTCTGGAGGATACTTGATACATATCTACTCGAAAATCGATAATTTAGTGAAAAATGAGTTCCATTAAATGCCGTTAAGTAGCAATAACTCTAAGTTTTATTTAGTTTTGCCTTTTAGTTGAAAGCAACTTGCAATATAAATAAATCAAATTTTAATGACTGGTTCACCGGCCATCTAAATTTTCAAATTGAGTAAGTGATTGGAAGAAAATGTCAGATAACAAATCGCCTATTTTCCGTTTTGTTAGTTTATTTCCGATGATGCCGAGACATAATTTGTATAAAATTCAATCATATGTGCAGGCATCATGTCAAAAGCATGATATTAATTATGTTATTAAACCGCTATTCAAAGCATTTATTGATATATTTCTGTAAGTAATAATTTTCTTTATTAATAAGTAACGAGAAGAGTGTTAGTTACTTTTTACACTTTGCCTTTATCTATTTCTTTTCCTTCATTTTAGATCATTGGAATTATCTGGACGTGTGTGGCGTGAAACTTATCTGGAATTTGTTGAAAGCACATGAATTTACTTTAAACGCAGCACAGTTTTTGACCAAAACATGTGATGATGAAGTCAGAAGATTGTTGCGTTTTTTGTGATGTTTATTCTCTCTTGTTTTCATTTCATTTCTGATGTAATCGCAATTTTCGTAATTCCATCATCCCACTCTCAAAAATGAACGATCATGTCCATAATTAACAAAGTATTGCAAGAAAAGCTTTTTGCATGCTATGGTACCCGAAAAGAAGTTTATGCCCGAGATGCACAGTGTCGCATTCAGGCGGACTTTTGGTGAAAAATTGAAAGTGCGCTTTTGGGTGACTCAGATAGTGATTTATATACTTTGGACCATGATGAATGAAAACAATTTTTTCTTAGGGCATACTTATGTTGGGAAAATCATATAGACAAAAATTACACTAAAAAAAGAGGCACTATCGGAAAACTGAACTAAACGCAAAAGTAAGGTAAGCGATCAAACAAACAAATATATGTTCTTAATCTTTGTAAGTCCTCCATCGACTGCTGAAAAGAATTTCTAGTTTAGGAGTTTTCAAGATGGAAAAGAGTTATTGTATATTTTATTAGCGAGTTTCCAAAGAAATGCATTCAGTAAAGTACATGCGCGAAAAAAAGCGAAACTCCAATTTAGATGAAAGTTTCAGCAAATGTTGAGCTATATAGGACGCGTGCAAACAGTTAGCGAAAAGTAGCGAAACGTTTCCTATCCTGAGTTGTAGGTTTTCCAAAAGCCACTAGTTCTTGAAGGTTTCCATTTTTCTCGCCTCAGAAGTGTTTTTATTCAATGGAAATAACATATTCACAATCAGCGCAAGAAACTGCATCGAATGAAGTGCGATCAGTAAGTTTTTCTGTGCAAAAACTTGTTGGATTTAACGAAACGCTAAACTCGAAGATAGAGTCACAATTTGGCTAAGGATTTTGATATTTGCTACAGAAGCAGCTCGAAAGTTTATAAAAACTTTTTTATAGGTTTTCAGATATGCTCTTTTCAATGATGGGCTTCATAAAGTTCCAGAACACTTATGCGTGGGCCTTCTATAGACCCGATCTCTGGAGAGCCCAGATGAAAGCCTCTCTGAACTTTGTAAAACACAACATTGGAAAGAGCATATCTGAAGACCTATAAAAAAAGTGTTTATTGACTTTCGGACTGCTTCTATAGCAAATGCTCGCCTGGCCCATGGAAAAATCCACACTGTGAGATGTGATTGTCCTTGTCCGACGAGACTTACACGGATCACAAGGCAATTTTCGAAAAATCATGGAACCGAGAAAATTTTGTGAAAATCTTTTTTTTAGAATTATGCTTCAAAATCTGCTCTTTTCATTCTCAGAATCTGTACAGGACCATGAGGTGAGAATAGGACAGCTATTTTCAAATTTTTATGGATCAGAATCAGAAAAGCTTGCTTTCACACACATACAACCACGTGCACCGAATAAAGCTCTGGAATATTACGTAAAGCAACAATCCTGAAAGTATCTATCTAGTGATTTACAGGTGAAAATTACAAGAAAGCACTACAAATAAAAATATTTCAGTCGCGCTTGTTCCTCGACAGTGGAACTTAGCATAAGTCATTTTGCTTTGAAGAAAATCAACTTTTCCCAAGACCGAAGCTCAGTAAAACTCGCCGGCAACAACTGCAAAAGAGACTTTGTAAAAGAGAATTGTCCTAATTCTAGGGCAAGTTAGGAATGTTGCTGTTTCGTCCTCCAAAGCAGATGCGATGGTGGTTCGAAAATGTTTTCCGGGGTTTTGGACTTCAGTAAGCTGGAAAACATATGAAAAAAAAATAAAAATCATTGAAAAAAGTTCTTGTGGTAGTTTTGGTTTCGAGCAAAAACAAAACATACTGGATGCATGAGGCCAGAGCCAAAACGGAAGCATTTGTTGAGATGAATCTTTTGCTGAATTAAAAATCTTTTTAAAAGATTCTTGGCGGAACCGTGTGCGTTGGATAAAATTGTACTATTTCACTGCAATAACAAACTAATCCTAACGATAATATCTATGGATATACATTCTCTGAAAGTTCAAGCGTGAATGTTTCCTTCGCATGCGGCAAACGTTACCTTATCGGCAATATTCACACGCGAACCATAAAACATCAACCGCTCTCACTTTTATATTGAGATGAAATGCCAGTTATATATCGAACCATAACCGAGAATAGTACATGAGAGAACTTAAAGCAGTTTGTGACTGAAGCTGTTTTACAAATAGCAATCCAAATTTTTCTAAAAAGTTCAATAAACCGTTAACATACTTCCAATGAAGAATGAAGAAGAATTTGAGAAAGAAAGCGTATTTATAAAAAACAGAATTGCCGTGTTGTACTCATTTTAACCTCGAAGCGAGCCCGAGGTGGATAATCGACCCTGATTGCATTATGTTCCTGAAGAGAAAACTGAGTAAAGCAAGTTGAAATCAGTGCCTCATCCACCTTCAGACATGTTTTTTTCTGTAACCATTTCTGTAGGGATCCTTGCAGATTTGATTCTTAACTCAATGAAGTCGGATAATGAATGAATCAGTGGCTTTCTTTATTTTTGTTTCTGTACTCATTTTTTTGTTAAAAATAATTTAGTCTCTATTTTGTTTATGTACTTTTGAGACATTGAGTCGTAAGCAAACGCATTTGACTCTAATATTGGTCTGAACGCACCATGTTCTCGACAAAAAGATCGAGTAAAACATGTTGCACCTCGAATGTCAAAGGAGAAGTAATCAACAAGTATCTCGAAAGAATAGCCGTGAATGATAGTAACTCAACGTATACTAACATATAGTAGCTCGTATGAAAATCTTTTTATGTTGCAAAGTATAAGAATCTTATAACCACAGTATGCATTTTTATCGACTGAAGTATATACGATTTTCGTAAGATTTCTTTAAGATTCTTGTCTGATTTCCGTACTTTCGGTAGGGAATCGTACTCGCCCAGAGCCGTACAATTCTTATGCGTTACATAATTCTCATGATTCTCATAATTCTTACAACTCTTATGCATTAGATAGTTCTCACCATTCTTACAATTAGACGAGAATGTGTCACGTGCAAAACTCTATCTATCGTTCTACTTTCGAAAATCTTCCCGTAATTCGTTTACAGTAATAAAAGCGTATATAAAACTTTGTTTTGGTAAAAAATACTGCTGTGCATCAGAAAGATAAAACATCGAGAAAATCTGTTTTATTCATAGCACAAACGATGTTGGAAAATGCTAACACTAATGTGAGTTTGTAAAGAATTGAACGCTGTTTCGAAAATTGTGTTTTAGCAAAAGAACAAAGCTCGATCAGTATCTGAAAATTATTAATTAAGTCTAATTAACTACTTTTCTGAAATATTTCTGGTTGAAAAGTATATCAGAACATGATTTATCATACCCATTCGAAAGAGCGACAAAAATACTTCTACTTTCTATAATTGGATAATTTCAAACGTACTCAGCCATTGGAAAAAAACTTCATTTGATAAGAGAGATAGTCAGGAGACTGCAGAAGTTACAAGAGCGTTTTTGGCGATGCCTGAGATTCAAATTTTTTCTCACTCAAACTCAACCACAACAGTTTGGTTTTCTATGTTTTCTGAAGAGCAGATTTTGCTCTTTCCAACAGAAAAATAATTAACTTTCCAGCACATCAGGAACATGCAGAAATAATGCTCGACATTTGTCCAATTACTTTTGCATCGTAGGTTATATATGAATGTTTGAAATTCTGGAGTTTTAGTCTATAGAGTCTTCGTCTGTGCTAACATAACTCAAATAAGTAAATGCTGTCTTGTAACTTACGCAGTCATCCTCTTCTCCGTTACCTTTTATGCCACCACGGATACAGTAATATATATGAGCGTCGACGTAATATGAACATCGATATCTAGATCAATATCGGATGTAAATTAAGAACGGTTGCATTGATGAAGAGGATATCTCGCAATAGAACAGAGTGTGAGAGATTTTTGATAATACTATACTTTTATAGTGAAATATCATATATTTATTGTGATGATACAGCGTGAAATGATATAGTCTCCTGTTTCACGGAGAATGAAGTTGTTACAGCCATTAGAAGAACACGACACCTAATTTATGCTGACTCATAAAAAACACAAAGAGAAATTGAATATACTCTAATCAAATCGTATGCATTCATTCTCTCTTAAATGTTTTCTTTGCCTGATCGAATATTGTCGAATGTCAATCTACTCACATAAAATTCATTTATTCTTTAAGTAGCAATTTTTTATTAGCATATTGTAGACGGTACGACTTACTACGTAAAACTAATTGTGTTTTGCTTTCTGTCCATATGTTTGCTGTTGTTTCTAATTAATCTGTAAAACATATTTTCTAGTATAAGTTTAGTAACGGAATATTAATTTTATAATTGTTATCGGTGAGAAAAATAAGGAAAAAAACGCTTATATAGACAAAAAAAGAAAAAATCAAATTAATGTGAGGGCAATTCGGTTTTTCGTCATTTGTTTATTCAAAATTATTTGTCCAAGCCAAGATTCAAGGGATGATTTGGTGTTTCATTAAGAAAAAATTTCTTCATAAATTCGCTAAATAAATTGTAATCCATAGGCTTTTTGCCATTTTCCGTAATGAAATCATACGCTTTATCGGCTAAAGAAGAAATATTTAATAGAAACTATATTTTAGTTAAAGTAGTATATCTTACAACTATCTCCATCAATGTCCCATAAGACAAGCATATCAGCAAATTCATTTTTGCTCACTCTACGTTCATCTATTAAAGAATAAATCATGTCTCAAGTTTTGTCAATGTAACGATGCTCATCATACCCATAAACTCATTTGCTCTATAGAGAGCTTTGTGGAGGCCTTCATACCATTCAGGAAATTCATTTTTTTCTTTTAAACCACCGATGACATCATTCATCACATCAAGCCATTCATCTAGATACAAGAAAATGAGTCAATCAGTTTAAAAAATAGTGTTTTTTTGTGTCAAGTTACTAATTACCCAAATCGATTTGTCCATCATTATTCGCATCTCCCACTGCACACAAATCCCAAAAATATTTTTGAAAATGTTGTTCAAGACGTTTTCGTAGTATTTTTAAACGAGCATTTTTTTCAGCATCATGTTTTGGTATAATCGTTTCAATTGCCGCTTCAAAATCTACCCAATTTACAAATCCATCATTGTTGGTATCTATTGAAAAAATTTTTCCATTAATAACTATAAATCATCTTTTACTTTATAGTAGACTTACCAAGAGTTTTTGTAAAAAATTGTTGAAGTTTTTTGAGTGATTGTTTAGGAATATTATCTCGGGGCATTTTTAAGTCAATGGATATATCTATAGAACAATAAAAAGAGTTGAAATGCCTACAAGGTTATATATACATATATATATATATATATATATCTGAGTATGTGATGTGTAATGAATATTATCCTTAATGTATCATCATCAGACGAACAAAAGAAAGAAACTGAATAAATATGAAAAAAAAGAGAGAAAAAGTCTTAATATAGAAGAAAAGTCATTGTACCATTAATATTATTAATTATCGCATCTGTCAAGATAGGGGGGGTTTTCTGTACGTGAGACATCAGTGATGCGAGAACGATTATTGTTATTGTTATTATTGTTGAACGCGATTGAGAAACAATAACTAGATTTTTTGATTATTATAACAGATGTTATCATAATTTTTTATGGTCTTTGCCAGAATCAATTTTTTTATATTATATGTTGACTAATCGTTCAACCTAGAGATTTTAGAAAAGGTCTCTTCGAAATTCGACCATTTGCTATTGTTAAGGTCATTAATAATTTATCGTTGTTACTTTACCTATAGAAAATCATTGCATGTAGATTTGGTTTCTTCTTCAGAGAACAATTATCGATTATATGCACAAATTTTCTTTTTTATTTCTCTTTACTAAATAGATATTACATACTTACTCTTTTAGTTGTTAATATCTTTTCTGTATAGGGGAAAAAACATTGTATTTCTTGTACAATTGTCCAGAAAAAAATAGATCATAAATGATGACAAACACATCTGTTATCATCGAGTTTATAATGCATTATACATGTATAGTTCATTGTTCATGATAGAATTTTGTAGCTCGTACGATAACGTCGAATCCGATCGTGAGAGCCGAGACGATATATGTAGGAATAAATTCTTTTGAATGTTCAATGAAATGGAGGTTTAGTTACGATCAAAATTATAGAAGTTTGCTAGAGTACAAGAAATATTGTAATTTCTATAGACATCTCACACTAGTCGATCCTATCCGATCGTGTTCTTTTAAACTGGCATAAATTGGGAAATAGGCTTTTGCACTCAATTGATAGTTGAATATCAGATACGAGTGGATATTTTTCCTTTCTTTTATCCTAGACAAAAATTTTTTAATAAATCTGACAAGAATCTGATAAGATTCTTACCGGTTTCTTAAATAAGATTCCGCAGGAGAGTCCTGAGAATTCCACAAGGAAAGTATAAGAGCCTTATAAGAAAATTGTAAGAGGTTCACAAGAAAGTGATAAAACTCTTATGTAATTCTTATCTGTTTTATACGAATTTCTTGTGGGAAGCTTATTAGATTCTGATAAGTATTTTGTACTATACAGTATTTTATTTACTCAAAATATAGATTGATTATTTATTTCAACACAGATGTTACAATAAGCAGGATAACAGGGAACAAGGAAAAAGTTATTGATTGCATTAAAGAACTGCCACCAAAAAGTACTAAATAAAGCGCAGATACTTTCATGTGGTTTCAGATCACTCCTCCTTGCTCAGTTTAAGTAACGTCGAAAAATTGTATTATCATAATATAATGGCGAGATAACTTATCATAGTTGTAGTCCGTTATAGTGCAGTTGGTAAGAGCACAGCACAACATGGTCTAGGTCTCAGGTTCGATCGCTGAACGGACCGCTATTTTGTTTTTCAAATTTTTTGACGTAGGACTAGCAGTGGTAAACTTATGGAACAAATTCTATCAATTGCCAGAACAAAAAAATATTTTAAAGTAGAAATTTCATAAAAAAACACATAAGAAACACATAAGAATTACATAAAAATTCTTACCATTTCTTATAAGGATCTTATACTTTCTTTATGGAATTCTTGGGATTCTCCTGCGGAATCTCATTTTAGAGACGATTTGTAAGCGCATCGAGAAACCGCATAAATTTTGAAAATTTCGATTTCGATGAGAGATATCTCATTCGATAGCCCATCTAGAATAACAGACAAATTACAATTTTAACAACTTGAAACCGCTTGGTTACTGAGTTACGCCATGTTTACAGAAAAGAAAGTCGAAATTTCTCGAAAAAGCTCATTTTTAGTATTTTGATTTTTTCTCAAAAACTGCTAGACAGACTCTCTCGAGCAACATTCCATTCGATGCAGAATAGAATGCTGAACAAAATGAGATGCTTTTATTGAGAGTAAGACATACAGATGGCTCAGTAAAGATAAAATACTGAAAAATTTTGGTTATGAAAAACGTGTTTTTTCTGCATATTTTGCAAAAATATGTAACTTTAAGCGCATGGGCCTCACGTAAAACTTATGGTATTTAACGTTTTTATCCTATTTTTCCTTTTTGTACGAGGAAAACTGAGATGTAATCCATAATCTACGATGAAAGCTCAAGTGATTGACGCATTTGTAAAATATCAGATACAAACAGGTTAGTCTGTGGTGCCTGCACTTTATATATAATAACTATATTGACTTCTAACCTATTTTGTCGTTCACAGTCATATACCTTGAACCTAATTAAAGCTTCATAGTATAGAGGTTGGTACGGTCTTCAAACATACTACTTGAACGGTTTCTTCGGTTTAATTTCTGTCCGTGTTTTTGAATAATGAGAGCTTTTACTCTACTTAGTATTCTGAAAATAGTTTTATCTACTATGAATTCAGACATCGGGGGTAGCATGTAACATATAAAAACACAGTATTTCTTAAAGTATCGAGCTTGGAAGATTTACAGTATTGAAAATCTTTTTCAGAATTTTCGAATGTTTTGTAATCTAAATGATCTTTTAGGTTTAGTTAATTCAATTCCGATAGAATCCGCTTACGTGTTGTTGTCTGAACATCATCATTTAATGCATGAGCGACTTTCTCCTGATCAATAATTTCTTGAAGAGCCATATCATCCTTATATGCTTCGTCTTTGTCGGCATCAGTTCCGTCATTAGAGCTGTTCGTGAATGCAGGTGTGGAATCGTCACACTTCGTTACAATAACTTGAGAATCTGTCCTTGTGTTAAATGATGTTTTAAGCCGAGAGACGAAGGAACGAATTTGAGACGATTTGAGCAGTTCGTCGATGGAGAACATGAATGAACCATCATTCGATTTCATTTTTTCCATCTCCAAACATACAGCTTCCGGTTCCATCTTATATCCCGTTCTACTCCTTCATTAAATTTTTCCGTTAAAAATTGCTTCTGTTTATCGTTGAATTTCATGACTGTACGCGGTTTTGGTAACGTCCATCCTTCTAACAAAATGGGTATGCGTTCATATAGGCTCTTATCAAACGTAGACATTTCTAATAACAATGAAACCATTTGTCGATTAACGACTGCTTCTAATTTTGAGTGGTAGATTTTCATAGCTGCATCAGTTAAATTCAATTTTTCCGCCTTTATACCATGTTTCCCGATTAATAAAATTTTGATATCGAATAAAAGCTTGTGTACATCCTTCTTGGTTACATTCATATACGATGGTATTCGACGGTTTATCGTTAGCATTCTCTATTTCTTCTTTCGAGGCTTCTAGTCTTGTTGTTTCTTTCGAATTTGACCAGTCGTTACAATAGGGCGACTTAACACAATCCACTATACTAATTTTTGGCGTTTGCCCAAGGAGGTCTTTCTTTAATAATTTTTCACCATCTCCGATTTGCCAAGCACGGTGTACACGAATACTAGATGCATCGAATTCAAAATTATTGAACGATGTAATACCCGGTAATTTAAATTTGATCTTTTCATCGAGAGGTGATAAACGACATTCGACTACACTGACATTCTTGACTCCACCATACGATCGACTCGCATTCACAAATTGTTCAGCTGTTGTGTGACATCATTTTTTTTCGTTTAAATATCGTCGAATATGAGATTCAGTCACGGCAGCAAAACGATCGCAAGCGGCTTTACAGCCTTGAGGATCGGAAAAATCGAGAATTGTAATACCGGTGTTTTTTGATATTTGAGGAATAGATAATATTGTTTCGGCTGAATGATAACATCCGGCGTTGTCGCTTCTGATATATGCCTGTTTAACATGAGAATCAGTGACTTTTATCTTTTGTAATACATCCTGAATAATCGCCCTAACTGTTTCGGCATCTTGCGTACATTGATCAAAAGCATGAACAAATACTGTATGTTGATATTGAGAAAAATTATTTGAAATTCCCTCAGCTGTATTATCATTTAATGTATCACCGGTTTCTAAGAATAAAAGAGGTGACGATATATGATAGTTCAATAGCGTAAATCTCTTACCACCATCAGATTTCTGTCCTTCCTGATCTACTGCATTTATATTATGTTTTTTCGTAACAACGCTAATACGCCAGCTAATCCCGCGTTTGCCAAAAAAATCCGATTGTAGTTCTCGATACTTTGCTGGTAGCCATTTCATTGCTTAGTCACAATTAATAAATACATCATCAGCAGCTAATTCTTCAATTATTTGCTCACGACAGGAATTCTGATTAACACTACGTATCTGGTGGGATTTCCAAGCATGAATAGCTTCATAACACGTTCTAAACTTGTATAAAGCACGTTCTAAGTCATTCTGCCCCCTCTTGTCTTTGAGTATTTGTTCAATATTCACCAATGTGTTCGATAAGTTTGCACAATCAATGCATATATCATCGTGTTTATGATCGCATAGTTGACGAAATTCTTTTGTACTTTTATCACTTACAGCATATGTTACACAATGATCGCCTATCGTAGATGATTTGGACACATGAACTTTAAAGTCGGATTTCAAATACTGTCTGTCTCGTTTAAAATTTTTAATTAAACGTTGTTGTTCATCGATACTGACGGTCAATTCTTGAATTGTTCTGATTAGAGAATCAAATGCCTCACTTCCGTCAGCCGCGAAGTAGTTCAAACCTTGTAGTGATTTTCTTGTGGACGCCTGGCATACATTCAATAGCTTATACAAACTAGACGGGCCTAATGTTTGAAAACCAGGAAATAATTCACAGCAATATTGATAATATTGTTCAACAATTCGCGACGGTATCATGTTACGAATCGTCTCCGGTACATACAGTTCGGTTCCGTTTGATAATTTGAGTATTTTTTCGCCAAATGGCATATCAGTACATACATGTTCACTAACAATGAAATCGATGAAGTGAGAAACTTGCTCATCATCAAAACGATGAATAACGTTCGATGAACTTTCGATTAATGCACCCGCATGAAATCGTAATCCATACATTCTTGCAGATGTAAACCGGTATAATGTTAAACCTGGTAAGAATGATTGAATCAGTTTGAACGCTATTTTTGGTGCAACAACTGAGAGTATTTGCCGACGCGTTGACCAGTTTTCGGCATTATGATATGTTTCGGTAACACCATTCATAACAGGTAAAAACTTTCCATCTAATACTACATTATTTTGATCGATATTTTGATTTCTATATGAACGTGTTATCCGTACCTTCGATTCAATTCCACTCAACTGGGGAAATTTGTTCAATACCATTCTTTTTTGCTCTTTAGCACTATTAACTTCACTACCGGATGACTTTTGAGATGGTGTATATGGCGAACTAACAATGGAATCTTCATCTGATTCCTCATCGCCCATAGCTAATTTATATAACTACTCAAATCGTGCTTTATGTAATGCATATTGGATATGGGACCCCAGCCCGCGAGCCGGTGTGGAAAATCTGAATCGGCAGTTCCATTCAGAATATTCTTCTCTTACTATACTGAAATGCTCAGCTTCGATCCTTTCAATTTATTTATAGAGCGCTCGTGTCTACCTAGATTTATTTTATTCGTTTCGTACACTAACCAATAGAAATTCAAGATGGCTGCCATGCCTAAAATTCTACGTAGAGCGCTTGCTTTA